GAAAAGATTGGGAAGTTCAAGAAAAGTAAAGCTAACTATCTAGAGATAGTCCTTCTTATATCTCATTGGCCAGAACTGGTCACAGGACTATCCTTAGCTTCTGAAACTCTGAGCAGTGGCTCTTAGCTTTCTAGTTCTGATTGTGGGTGAAGATATGTAGGGGGGAGGTTTTTGAGTAGCCAGTCCATAGGTTGTGCTATAATACCATAGCTTTTTCTTTGTAGAAAAACTGATGGTAGATACCTCATGAAAATAACCGTATAGTCATTTGATTTGATTTTTTAAAATATACATTAGAGTAGAAGGAATAGTATAATGAGCCTCCATTACTCATTACTCAACTTCAATAATTAATATGTTGCCAAATTTTTTTTATATGTTGATCGAAATTCAATTTGTTGGCATAAAATTGTTTGTAGTATTTCCTTATAATGCTTTTAATTTTTATAGGGATGGTTTTGATGTCTCTTTTTCATTCATGATTTTGGTAGTTTGCATCTTGTTTATTTTTATTTTTTTCTTGGTCAGTGTAGCTAAAAGTTTGATTTTTTTTTTTTGATATTTTTATTTATCTTTTCAAAGGATCAACTTGGTTTCATTGGTTTTTTTCTATTTTTCTGTTTCATTTCATAGATTTAGACTTTAGACTTTATTTCCTTTTGCTTGCTTCAGATTTTCTTTGTTCTTTGTCTAATTCTTTAATTCCTTAAAGTGGAAGTTTAAGTTACTGATTTGAGATGGTTCTTGTCTCACATAAGCATTTAGAATTATAATTTCCCTCTTAGCAATTCTTCAGCTTCAAGTCCCATAAATATTTATGTTTTCGTTTTTATTCAGTTCAGTGTATTTTCTAATTTCTTTTGTGACTTTTCTATTGACTTTTCTGGTTACTTAGAAATATGTTCTTTATTTTTTTATTTATATTTTTAAAAACAAATAGATTTTCTTTTACTCTAATCTTAGACCAACAAATGCGATTACTTGTAAATACTGATAGTCATAAATTTTTTCTTTTATTAATGAAAGGTTGAGTTTAATATTTTTAATTTTTTAATTACAGTTGGCATACGATATCATATTAGTTTCAGATGGAAATATTCATGGATTTTCTAAAGTTTTTCTATCGTTGATTTCTAATTTTGTTTCTTGTGGTCATGGTCAGAAATCATATGTTGCATAATTTCAGTTCTTTAAAATTTATTGAGACATGATTTATTTACTAGCATATGATCTATCCTGGAGAATGGTCTGTGTGTGCTTGAAAGGTATATGTATCTTCTTGTCAGGGTTTTATGTAAATGTCAGTTCAAGTTATTGGTGTTGTTTATCTTCTGTATCATTGTTAATTTTCCATCTAGTTCTGTTAATTATTGAGAATGAGGTATTGAAGTCTTCAGTTGCTGAATTTTCTATTTCTCCTTTCAGTTACTTTAACTTTTACTTTATTTTGGGGCTCTGTTGGCATGTACATGTATTTTATAATGGATATGTCTTCCTGATGAATTGAATTTCTTAGCCTTATGAAATGTCTTTCTTTGTCTCTAGTAATGTTTGTCTTAAAGCCTTATTTTGTATCATCTTAATGTAGCCACCCTAGGTCTCTCATAGTCACTGATTGCATGGTGCCTTTTTTTACATTCTTTTGCTTTCAGTCTCTTCGTGTTAATTGAATCTAATAGTTTGATTTTATTTATTTATCCAGACTGAAAATGGCTGTTGTTGATTAGGGTATTTAGTCCTTTTATATTTAAAGTAATTATTGATATGATTGAATTTTTGTCTGCCATTTTGCTATTTTATGTCTCATATTTTTGTTTTTTGTTTATGCTACCTTTTGTGTTAAATAGATGTCGTTTATTGTACCATTTAAATTTCTTTTTTACATGTGTGTTTTTTTAAGTTATATTCTTAGAAATTGCTCTAGGGATTAAAATATGCATTTTACTTTATGACATTTTATTTGAGGTTAGTACGAACTTAATTCCAGTAAAATATAGAAAATTTGCTCCATAAAGCTCTATTTACTACCCCCTCCTTTGTGTTATCATATGTGTATACCTTAAATATATTATAAACTCAACAATATAGAGTTATGATCTGATGTCTTTTAAGAAGTTAGGAGAAGAAAAGAGGAGAACATATTTATATAATCTTTTATATTTACCTTTTTTTGGTGTTCTTTATTTGTTCAGGTAGATTTGAAATACCAACAGTTGTTACTTTCTTTCAGCTTGAAGGATTTCCTGTTGCTTCTTTTTATATGTGTATAAGGCAGGCTTACTAGCAGCAGATTCTCTCAGTCTTTGGAAATGTTTTTGTTCACTTGGTTCTTTTTTATAATTTCTATTTATTTATATTTGCTGTTTCATGAGTCATAGTCACCACACTTTAATGCTTTAATAATGATTCAATTTTTAAAGGATAGTTTTGCTAGGTATATGGAATTATTGATTGATAGTGTTTCTTTTAGCACTTGAATTTATCATCCCACTGCCTTTTGTCCTTCATTGTTTTTTATTAGAAGTCAGCTGTTAATTGTACTATAGTTCCACTGTATAAGTCTTTTTCTATTACTTTCAGAATTTAGCCTTTCTACAGTGTTAGTCTAGGTTATTGATCTCTTTCTGTTTATCCTATTTGAGGTTCAATTTATCTTCTTGTATTTGTATATTAATGTTTTTTTTTTGGTCATATTATGGAAGTTTTCTGCCCTCATCTTTTTAAATGTATTTTTTAGCTCCTTTCTCACTCTTACATTTGATACTTGCATTATGTATAAGTTGTTATATTTGATTTTATCTCACATCTCTCTCTGATTCTCTTGATTATTTGCTTTTTGTTTCTGTTTTTCACAGTAGATAGTTTCTGTTATCTTCAAGTTCATTGATTATTCTTTCTCAAATCTGTTGTTGAACTCCTCTAGTAAATTAAAAAATTTTGTTGCAATACCTTTCAACTCCAGATTTCTATCAGGTTCTCTTTTTTTTAAATTGAGATTAATCGACGTAACAAAATTCACCATTTTAAAGTGTACCCTTCTATGATTTTTAGTATATTCATTAGGTTATGCAACCATTATCACTATCTAATTCCAAAACATTTTCATTACTCCATAAAAAAACCTCATACTCATTAATTAGCACTTACTCCTTCCCCACTTACCCCAACCCCTAGCAGCCACTGGTCTACTTTCCGTCTTGTTGGATTTGCCTGTTCTGGACATTTCACATGAATGGAATCATATAATATGTGGCTTTTTAAATCTGGCTTCTTTTGCAAAGCTTAATGTTTTCAAGATTCATCTGTGTTGTAGCATGTTTCAATATTTCATTTCTTTTTATGGCTGGATAGTATTTCATTAAGTGAATATGAATAGACCACATTTTGTTTATCCATTCAGTTGGTGGATATTTGGATTGTCTCCACTTTTGGCTCTATGATAATGCTTCATTTGGTTCTTTTTTATAATTTCCATTTACTTACATTTGCTATTTCATGAGTCATAGTCACCATACTTTAATTCTTTAATAATGATTTCTTTCAGTTATTTGAACATATTTATAAATAGCTGTTTTGAAGTCTTTGCCTTCTAAGTCCAGCATTTTTGCCTTCTCAGAGTTAGTTCTGCTGACTGCTTTTTTCCCTCTCTGTGTGGAGTGCATACTTTTTTATTTCTTTGTATATTTCATAATTTTTTTTTATTGAAAACTAGAAATTTTGGATAATATAGCAACTCTTGAGTTGTGATTTTTTTCCCCAGAAGGCTGTTGCCATTGTTTTTTTCAGTTCTTTTAGTAACACATCTAAATCTATGGAGTCTGTTTAATGTGTAGTATGTAACTGCTAATACTTATGCTGTTTTTAATTTTTTAATTTTTATTGCATTTTTAAACACAGTTTAGTAGGGATTAACCTTGTTATATCTTAGTGGTCAGCCAGTATTTGGTCTTGGTTTGTACTTGAACACTTTGTTTCATCATGTATTTCTCCTTATGCTGATGATTCTTTGTTTTCAAGGTTCAAGCAGTTTTTAAGTTTGCCTCCAATTTTACTTTCCTTTGGGATCTCTTCCATTTCTTCTGTGCATGTGTACTATCTCATGGTTTGCCAGAGATTTCTAAATAGCTTGATCATCCCTCCCTGGTCTCTTCTGCATGGATGGGTAGAGAGCTTATTGAGAACCCCTATTGCTGTGTTTTTTGGATCTCCCTGATAAATGTCTGACTAATGTGCTGGTCCTTTGCTTGCTGCAACTTCATGCTTGCTGAGCCACTGTTCTTGCCATTTGTTTGGCACTGAGATCGCTTCTATTACTGATAACGCTCTTTGGGTAGATTTTTTTTTTTTTCTGTGCTTCAGTCAAAATCATGCCAGCTTCCTCTAAGTGAATCTGCTGGTTTTCAAGCTTTGCCTTACTCTTGTATAATTACCATGGTAACCCATCTGGGATAGAAAATGGAAGTAACCCTAGGCAAGAATGCCACATATTCCCACAGTTCCTACCTGTGGTTTTGTGGTTTTTCATGAGTAACCACTTCTTCATTTGCTTTATGTTTTTGGTCAATTTCCAGAGCTCTCAAATGGTTGTTTTGACAGTTTTCTCTAGTTATATGGATTGTCTTTAGGGGAGAACATTTGCGGATCTACTTATTCCATCATACCTGAACTCATTCCCCTGTAGATTGACTTTTCATTAAAAACTTTTGAGATGCTATGTAATAAGAGTTTCTTTTTACTGCATAATCAGGAACACCCAAAGGTTAATGTTTTTGAACTAGAGATTTAAAATAGAATTGTGGCATATTCTCCTACTACTTCCCTTGTGTTCTATAGAACAGTTCTGAGTGCTTACTTTGTTCTAAACACTTTACACGTATGAAATCTTTTAGTCCTAATGACTTCTTGAGTTACTTATAGGGATCATTTCCAACTTAAAGTCACTGCACACCTGGTATCAGAAGAGATAGTAATTGAAAGGTACTTTCTGTTAAGCAAGATTGTAAAGAAAGTCAACTTTGTTTCTCAAGAATATTTGCTTAAATTTTGGTTTGAATGTTCAAAGGATGGCTTAATCTAGAATAGATATTCCTCTTTTTGGAGAAAAATTCAGATCTAAGTTGTGATTTGAATATTTTAATAAAGAATAAAGTAATTCTTTAAAGAATAAAGTAAATTCTTGTTTCTAAAGAATAATTGTTTATAAAGCCTCAGTTCATTTAACCACTCTTGGAAGTAAAATTTTGTAATTTGAGAATGAACATTTCAAATTTCTCTTTCATAAAGATAAGGTGGCAGGGAGACTTGATTATGTAAAATTAGTTTTAAATTCTTGGTGCTGATGTAAAGAGGAAATAGGGGTCTGGTATTTCTCTTGGGTTTCGCTATCCTATCCTGGAACTAGTGTTGGGGGACATAGAACTGTTGGTGGAAGGAAAGATGTTAAGGAGCAGAAGAGCTATTATTTTAATTAGTTATAATTATTTAAGGATTATAAGCCCATTCATGATTGGAGCAGTGCATAAGGCCACAGTGCAAACACACCACGACCACTTGCCTGATAGCATTCTCTTGTTGCATGTAAGAAGAAGCGGTCTTTGAGGCCTGAATTTGCAAACCTAAATATAGAATTAAAATGATCACATTGATTCTAAATATAGAATTCAATGATCACATTGAAAAGTCAGTTTCGTATTTACTAAAATATGTCTCTTTAATAAAAATATCTTAAAATTACTTAGTTTTGCTTACATTGTATTTAAGTGGTTTTCAAATTTAAGTCATTTTCGAAATCTTCTGGAGGTGCTATGTGATATATTGTGGTTTTTAATTTGACAAAATTAAATGACTTCCTAATGGAGTTCATTTATCACTAATTAGAACGACCAGTCACTAATGATTCTGAATAATATCCGTTAGCTGGAGGATGTTCTCTTTTTTTACATTTTTTTAATGAGTACTTTTGAGAGAGGAAAAAAGTACGCTTTTATAAAAAGTCATGTGTTTTATAATACGAGAATATTCCTATTGAATTTTTAAATAATAGACTTTTTTTTAGAGCAGTTTAGGTTTACAGAAAAATTCTGCAGAAAGTGTAGTTTCCCCATAACCCTCTTTTCCCTTACAGAGTTTCTCCAGTGAACATCTTGCATTAGTGTGGTACATTGGTTATAACTGATGAGCCAATATTGATATTCCTATTGATTTTTTTAAAAGCAATTTTAATCTAGTTTAATAGCTGAATAGTTTTTGTAATCCTCATACATAGTTGAAATAACTATTGTTTATTTATTAATGACTTTTTAAATATCCTATTTACAATGAAAGATAATTACTTTGATCTCTTTAGGGTGGTATAATTAATGATGGTTCTGAATTGATTGGTCCCGTTGAAGCTTATTTGGATTCCCTCACTGATAGCTTTCCTGAGTGTAGTACAGAAGGTAAGAGATTAATTTTTTTTTCACTTCAGTGATTTTGACTATAAATCATATTTGCATTGCAAAACATAAATGGATATTGAATCCCTTGAGAGTATTCACTAATTCTAAGATGCTTTTTTTTTCTTTACATTTTAACATCACTGATATGGGGTGCATGATTTGGGTCAATGGTATCTTCCACTTAATTGACAGCTTTTTTCTTTCTTAGTGCGATATATAAAATAATCATTCCTCCTACAATTAATGGTACCTTAGATTTGACGAAATGTGATATAGAGTTAAAAATTTGCATTCTCTAGAATAAGAATGCCTTCCTTAAGTTTATTTGGCAGCATCTGACTTTTAGACAATTAATATCAAGACTGGCTTTAGAAGTTTAGTTATGTACCCAGAAAGAGTAAACTTAAAGCAGTTTTAGTATTTTTGATATGTTTTATAAAACATGAATCTAAACCAAAGCAATTTTTCTACTTTTATTCACTCTAAGAATGTTTAATCTCTTGTTTTATTCCTCTATTAAGCCATATTTGAATTTTTATGAATATTTAAAACATACATTTTTGTTTTTGGATTTCCTTAGCTAGTTTTCTTCCAGGGAAGATTTTAAAATTAAAAAAGAAGATTTGGGGATAAGGATGAGGAGAGTCTTTAAAAATAGGTAGATTTGTTTGATTTGGCTTAGGTGTGATTTACATAAAAGTAAAATCATAGACTAGATAATTTTTTTTTTGATCTCTTTCATAAGTAAGAGTTTATGGTAGAGAAGGCTGCTTTATGAGCCTAACATGGGAGGTAGCCATAATCTCATTGCAGTGATGTTTTTTGTGTGGAGATATGTACTACTATTATATGTCAGCAGACTTATTGACATAAATCTGTTGCAGTAAAGTCTCATCTTGATTTGGTAGGAGCAACAGATTCCCATTTGTTATGTAGGCTGATGCACTTAAATTGTATTTTTCTTTTGGTAGTGCCATACTGAAAAGTGATCACTTTTTCTTGTTTTTTTTTATGGTTGTTCATGTTGACTTAAAGGCAAAGCCCGTTAACTTATACCCAGTGTCCTGTGTGATGTATGGGGACCTCAGGCCCAGGGTTCCATCCTGAATCAGCCAACGTCATAGAAAAACATTGGTGACAGTAATTTTACTTTACAATCCATCATGGTGTTTTGGAAAAATATATCCTCTGTAACCTGTTTTGATCTGAGACCCTTGCTAGGCTTTGGAAAAATCTAGTCCCTGCTTGGGATCCCAATGAGAATCTAATTAGATTTAGTTTCCTTGGAAGGTAACCTGTCTGGGATTACCTCATCTGGTTATTGCCTCAGAGATACCCTACTCCTGAGAAAGAAGGAGAGTGTGTTTTTTTGCCTATAAAACGTGCTGATTTGGTGACATCCAATAGAGAAGAAGTAGGAGAGTTAGAAATATTTATAGGAGAATATTCAATGAGGAGTACAGCTCTTGGAAATTGCCGAATGTTTCTTTCCTCTCTCTGGTTTTTGATACAGGCCTTTATGGATGTGGGATTTGCGAATGGTTATATATATGATATCTATAATAAGCCTTTATTACTAGGTGGGAGTCAGCCATGGTGAGAGAAGTATGTTTTGGGAGCCTATTTTAGTGTTAGGTAATCATGGATGGGCGCAATGTAGAGGTCTTTTGTCCTTTGCTGCAGCCTAGGAGAGACAAAGAAGAGCATTATTATTAGGAATAACTATTCTTGGGATGATGTATAAAAGATGCACAGCTGTTCTAGGTAAAAAGTTGGCTGTGTTAATGTTAAAGGATATATAACCTAAAGCTAAGGATGAGTCAGTGATTTGTTGTCTAATCTGTGATGCTTCTTAGAATTAAAGAGGATGCTTTGAACAAGTACAGTAAGACAACAAGCATAAACCAGGACTGCCTTGGACAAACTGGGCAGTATGGGCCACCTTACCTAAAGCAGTTGTTTCAGAGTTTACATTGAAGTTTCAAAACAATGGGTTTTCCTTGGAAGAATTTCTCTTTTAGGAATATGCTTTTATGAGAGAAATTGGGGGCAACAGTTTTGTTAAAAATACAGGAAAAGACTTATACTTAAAAGTAATATTGATATTTTATCCTTTCAGGTCATAGGTTAGTTGTCCAGCTATATTACCATCTCTAAAATACACTGTGATCCATGAAGAATGAAAAACATGGAACTAGAAATGCTATTAATGTTTGTGTTTTTTACCTCCTCCCTTTAATAGCCTTTATGTTCATCAGTCCTTCTGAAAGATACCTGTTGACAAATTACAGTTCTGAGAGTCAGACAGCTTGCAAATTCATTGCTATTTGAGAGGGGAAATGACTTTTAAATACCATGAGATTGTCTGGCATACTGGGCAAGTGTAAGATTTACCTTCATACCAAAAGGTCTGTAAACCCTGGAGACAACCAAGGGAGAGGGCCTCTAGTAGCAAGAGCAGGAAAGCCAGCAGCCAGCCAGGCCCCACAGTTATGCAGTGAAATGGAGCGTTGTAGAGGGATTGTGGTTGGCAAATGCTTGTGGTTTGGGTTCAGAGCCAAAATGCAAGGAGGTGATTCACTCCATAACAACTCCTCTGAGTGTAGTATTTTAAATGGTGTTTTGAAGGTAGATTTATTTTTCATACTTGTGATTTAGTTTGCCAGTGGAATTAGCCAGAAAGGCAAATCTTAATATATATAGTCTGCTGTTTCAAGGTCCTTCCGGTGGAGTTAGAATGGCATGGCAAGTGTGTCACCTGTCAGAGAACAGATGTAGAGGCTAAGTGATCTAAGTGATTTTTAGTAGTACAATAAAAATGCAATCAATAAATTTTAAGTTACCTTGAGAGAAAGTTTTCTGAGGAAAACATAAAGACCTAGATTAGTGATTTAAAAACTTTACCATTATTTTATAGTGCAGTGGGATAGAGGAAACCCCTTTAAGGTTTCATAAAACCAATAATTTGGTGATTAACTGGTAAATAAAACCAATAATTTGGTGATTATCTAATCTGAAATTAAAAATTACGAAGTTAGTAAACTTTTAGATGAAAAGTTAATATTGTTTTATGATTTTAAAATGAAATGCTGATTACTCTTGATCTCCTTTGTTCCGAGAAATTAAACAATATATTTTCTCAAAGATAAAAGGTTTAATTGATTGTTAACATCTTATTTCCTTTTTAAACTTCCATCTTTTGTTGAATTAAACTTAGCTATGAAGTTACCGTGACATGTGTGGAAACTTGGCCAAAACGATGCATGGGAATTGAGCTCCTTGACATATTTCTCTCATCTGTTGGCCTGTTTGAAGGATGTAGGTTGCTTTACTGCCACGCTGGCCTTGATATTGGAGACTTTGATGTTGGTATAGTCTCATCTGGTAACCTGTGTCATTTCCTCTTCCTAATACATTACTTTACTTCCTTTGCAGTTTTGGGAGGGACATTTTCCAGGTGTACGCAGCAAATAAGAGAAAATAGGTGATCATAACCACAAATACAAACTGAGAGATCAACTTATATGTAGCAGATCTTATGAATGAATATTCTTAAATTGGTATAGCCAAATCTACCCTTTTTTGGGGGGAGGGGTCTGTAAATTGTGGATTAAGAGCTTCTAAATACTCATTCTAACCGTTTTAGACTCAAGAAAGGATTTATTAAGCTGTCTTGAATTAGCCATTTTAGAATAAATGAGATGTACGTTTTGAGGATAATAGCATTTATTGCTGGTCTGTGTAAGGGATCTTTTAAAATCACTCCCAGTCCAAGATTTGTGTATTTATTTGATGGCAAAGTAGTAATTTTCTCCATTATGTAGATAAACACTAAGATTATAATTAATATGTGTTAAGTTGAATAATATTGATTATATTTAATGTCTTAAATATTGGGAGAATTATTGGAAAGGTATGCAGTTAAGTTTGAAAAAAATTCTTTTGTATCAAAGTTTTTTAATTATATTTTCTTTTAATTTTTATTATTTGTGTTATTTTCATTTAGTTAAAGTTGATGCTTTGAGGCAGGATCACTTGAAAAAGGAATATCCTTCAGTTAATTGGCCACTTAATAACCCAAATCTCTTTTTAAGATAACCTTAATATCTGTGCACTACACTGTGTACTGTAAGATGACAAAATATAGAAAGTTAAACTAAAAGTAATTTAAATTTAAGTAGAATTTATAGCAAATTTCCACTAGGTGGCACCATGAGAACTCTAAATCTTGTTACTGGGCTTAGTCTAGGCCCTGTATTATATTATACTAGAATATTTTTCTTTTAAGGGCTTATCTACTTAACTTCTATTCACTGTCCCATACTAGTTGAAATTTTTTGGTCGGATTGCTTAAAATAAATAGAAAAAGAATAGGTCGTTGTTAAGATAAACACAAATGAGAATGTGTCATTGTGTGTATGTGTGCATGTAAAACAGATGATACAAATTATAAATATTTACTCTTAAAAACCCTAGGGCTATTGATGATAATTTTGAAATTAGGACTTTAGGGGTTGGATGAGGCAAATTAAAACACATATTGTGGGAATGGGTTTTATAGTAGAAGGAACATTAGAAATGATGTAGATAAAATCTCTTATTTTACAATTAAAATTGGAATTTCAGAGAAATTAAGCCATGTGCCTAAGGTAGTCAAGGCATTCCAGGTATTTAATAGCAATCACAGAACTATATTTTGTGAGATGATGAGAATATATATCAGTGGGAATATATATTGGCATAGAAGCTCAGTGTGAGCTACTCATGTGCTGGTAACAGCAAACAGGTGTGATTGGCAGAGAAGATTATGGAGAGTAGCAGCATAGAAAGTTCATTAGGGAGAAAGGGAAGCCAACTCATAGATCTTTGTTGTTCATGATAAAATAACAGTATTAGAGTTGTAATTGTGATGAATGTGTTGTTTTCTGAGCTCATTCTGTTTTTCACCAAATATACAGTAGAGATTCGGATGCTCTTTTCATAAAATTTCAAGAGTGAAG